TAGTAGTCATAAGCATTAACAGACTTTCCTAAATTTTAGRTACAAGATGACATACATCTTATATTCACTTAAGTGTGATTATTCACAATTCTCTTCAGTTAATGCCCAAATAATTTTAAAAAGAAAAGGAACATGGAAAATGACCAGAATATTTTTGTTTCTTTTATGAAATGATATGCACTCTATCTCTAAGGACCCAAAACTCAGGTTAACTGACTTTTTTCCTCTCTGGCCCAGCATATCTGTATAAGATTACAGGTGGCACAGGTTTTTTATATCTGACAATGCCGCTCAGGAACTCTTCTTGTAGGGAAAGAAAGAAAGATGAATTCAAAATTATTATTTGACATTCCTCCCACCCTGTCTTTTTGTTGTTTGGCTTTTTTTTCTACTTTGGGGAGATGGATTTTTTTCCATTCTTATATTTTACCATATGAAAATTTTGTCTCTAAGCAGAGCTTTCAGTGCATAATAAATGTTTTAGTATGTGACCTATTTACTATCATGCAGTTGAAAGTATTTATATTCTTTGTGCTTTCTTCTATTGCCTTTTGGCTATTTAGGTTAATGCTCTTCTAAATTTTACCCTTTAAGAATTTACTACAATAGATGTTTTATAAGTACTTTAAACAGTTACTTTGTGGATTCATACAGTTTCTATAAATACTATAGATGGAAATATTRGCCTGATAGAAGCTATTTCATTTGGCTATAAATTAAAATTTAAATATGTTTTGTGTTATCAATTTGATTATGACAAAATTCTGTTAACTACAACAATGTAGAAATGTAGCTGAATTTTTGACACTTACCGAAATCCTCCAGAAGACTTATTGACACTTTGATCATTTGATTACAATAGATAAGCCAGTATAATTTTTACAATCATGCTACTTTTATTATATTAAATAAAATAAAYATATGAGTAGCTGTGGAATTATTTGTATCTTTATTTTATATTCATATTGAAACTAAGACATTTTAAAATAATTTTATTGTATACAATTAGGGGGACCAGATGCAGATTCCTTAAAATAACCCACAGGATACCCTCTCCCATGATGAGCTAAGGATATCTATTCTGTCATAACAGAACACAATAATATCATAATAGGATGTAATAATCACAATAATGAGGAAACAAAAAATACTGTTCAAATAARCTACATCTGATCTTCTGAATTAGAAGCAGAAACAATTTGCTCTTTAAATTTCAAAATAACAATCAGTTTGGTCATCAATATTAGACAATAAGCATTAATTTCTGCTTCTCATGTTCCAGGAAATTCCAGGGACCCTCTAGGCAGATAGCAATAAGTTTCACTTATTGAGAATAAAAACAAGTTACAGGGTTCTTTGATTAAMTCCAAGATAGCAAAGACACTTATAGATATCTCATATATTGAATCTAGTAACAGATATTATTCCATTTATTTTATTAGAACTATCTCATTTAATATTCACAGCAAACTTGTGAACCAGTCATTATCACTATTACTGCTATTTTTCATGCTGTTTGCTAGATGAGGTAAAGGAACATAATTAATGTATGCAAGGGAGGAATCCCAGTAAGTGAGTAGAGGAGAATAAAGAATGTGAAACCATAATGTTTAATTCTGTCCACTTGAATTTAATCTCTCCTCCAACTCTACCCCTTCCCATAGTGCCTAAACCTTTGTTCTTCAGCATCTGTCTGTGCTATGTGGGAAATTGCTTAGAGATCATTACATGTTTTTTTCAATGTGGACATATTAATTATGTGGAGGCAGCGTGATCTATTTGTAGGAAAAGRCTGAAGAACCATCTGGCTTTTTTCATATCCTATCCCTATAGTTCACTTCTGAACTAGCCTACCACCTCCTGAGCTATTGTTAAACTGTGTGGACTGTGCCTCCACTCTGAAAAGCTGTAAATCACTTTCCCCGTTTTTATTACATGTCCTGGTAATGTGAGTGCTTTAGCAGAGCCTTCAGTAGGAGCTTTGTTTACCCTTATTGCTTGTGGAACCCCAAATGCTGACTATCTAAGTGGCTCATCAGCCAAGTTCCAGTCCCTRAGGAATCTCAATTTTTTTCTGAGGGAAGAAGGCTTTTTGAAATAAATAACTAAAGAAATGTCACAAATGTGCTCCCCTCCAAAACATGTGAAAACATGAATGCTTATCATGAATAAAGAGTATGAATATGGACAAAGGTATATACAGAAAATTCTCTAAGGATAGCACTTTGTCTAAGATGGGAAATATTTGTTTATTTCTCACAAGATGCACTACCCAATATATTTAGTTATTTGGTCTCATATATTTAAATATTGGGGTTTGATTATATTTATAATACTACATATGAAATATTGCCAAAGTAAAACTAGGAGATACAAAAAACATGAGATGGTAGGACATCAACATAATCAGGAGCCATAGAGTGAAGATGTGAAAGCAGATATTGCTCATCCTAGGTGTATATCATTGAGCAGGTTAGAAAACATTCTATTTCTCAGATTCCTATATTTGAGGGCTTGTGATGGTCAAATACTATATTGAACTTCAGTGTTCAATCTTGTTGCAAATAGTCACAGGTGGCTATTAAATTTTTAATTAAAAAATAAAAATTCAAATCCTCAGTTGTTCTAGCCACATTTCAATTTCTCAGTAGCCATAAGAGGTCATGGATATTATACAGAATGGTTCATAAATAAATTAATCACAGAGAATTCTACTGCACAGATTTTATATATATATATATATATATATATATATATATATATATATATATAGGATCCAACATGACTTAGACATAGGTCTGGGAATATAACATTAAACATTAAACAGATAGTATATATCTATACATATTCAGAATTCTTGTGTTTGTGAATCTGTGGAGAAATTGGTACACATGAGTTCTTGTGTACTGTACTAACTATTTTAATACCTCAGATAGTTAAATTTYAATGCTGTCAAAATGCTTTTATGTTAAATGTCCAATTTACTTCTTATATAGAATGGAGAGAGATAAAGAGAGAGACAGAGAGAGCACTAATATTTCATTGCATTTCTGTCCAATGTCCTTTTAAGTATGCTTACTAAATGCAGCATTTTACCTTGAAATTATTCTCAATTTTCTGATGCTTTCCACCAATAATTTCTTTACAATTCTAATGTCTTTCATTCCTTTGCTTGTCCTAATGTGCTAGCCAGGACTTAGAATATAAATAAAGGCTTTTCTGCCTTTATATTTATGTAAGAGAGAAAGCTGTATAAGCTTTACTTGGAGAATAAATTTAATTGCATATTAAATTGACTTAATAGACCCTTATATTTCTTTTTTGCACCTGACATTTTTATTAATAGATTTGTTTATAGGTGTATGACTACTTCAACTTTAAAGTTTAATTGTCAAACTTGTTCCTGATATCATCTTGTGGTTTTTAGTATTTGTTATTAATTAGTGATAATATTTTTWAAATTACAGAGCTTTGTCAATCTTGGTTATTAAAGCCTTCTTCATTTTACCCTGATAAGTTGCACCAGAAATTTATGAGTTTGAAAAAATCCTTTCAAAGGATTTTGCTTGACTTAGCCCCCTCATTTTATGCTTATTGTTCTTAATTCATTGCTTTTCTATATTTATTATTTGCTACTCTCTGCTTTCTTTGCTTATGATTTTTTTAAAAAAAATTCTTTAATTAGGACTTAATACAATGACCTAAAAAATATATAATAAATATTTAAACTTCTGTCCACTCTTAAATGTAAATTCAGGTTATAAATCCCTATAAGGTACACGTTTTAGCAAACAAGATCCAATAATATATAAAGTGGTGACATAAAAACACATAAGGGTTTATTCTTAGGAAATAATTRGTAAGTTAAATATTTGAGACTTTAAAGTTCAAATAATCATGCAAAGAAAATGAAGGGAGAGAAAATAATTCTATCTCCCCAAAATGCTGAAAACTACAGGATAAAACTTGAGATATCATCAAAAGTACTCTTATCAATTTAAAAATACACATGGAAATTATTAATCTAATAAAATATATCTAAAACAACAAAAGGATGCTCTCTCTTGGAAATTAAAAATTAACACTTGTGAGAGTATGGCAAAGAATACATTATGAGATGCTGCACTGCAGCAACAGAGTATGGACATAGATGAAAGGAAGGGAAACAATGGACCATCATGAATTAAATCAACAGGAAAAATAAAAAGCCTGGGTCCCACAGGGCAGAGTGGTTTATTAAGACAGCATTAAGACGGGACAAATTTGCGGCTTCTACACTTTGGGGGAAGCTAGAGTTAAGAACTATAACAAAGGAAGACATCTGACAAGCACTGACAAGCCTTGAATAAGAACGGCTCCCTGCTGACAATGCCTTGCTAGTGAAAAGCGTATCCACAATGAAAGCCCCTAAAGTTAAAAAAATAATAATAATAAAGACCAAAGGAATGCTCTCTTGTCAACACAACAAAACAAGAAAAATCTTCTAACACTGGAGAGTCACGGAGTAAATAATGAAATAATAAAATACAATAATAAAGCCACAGACATAAAATGGCGTGAACAAAAAAATAAATTTATAGGGTTTGTGAATGAAATGCTTCAGGAACAAAGGGAGAAAGCAAAGATTATGATTTTTTTTATAACAGATGGAAAAATAATCAAATAAAATGTGCACAATGGATACTTGAATACATTTAATTAAAACCTCATTCTCCGGAGAAAACGGTGATGAATGGGGGGATTAGGGTCTGCCTGAACACAGCCGGAGGAGTGGCAAACGCCATACAAAGGGGGCTGTAGCCGCTCCAGCTCACAAGAACAAAAAGAAAAATGTCAGCTTGGAGATCCACAATGCAGAGCCAATAGCATGCAAGTGGTGTCACCACAGGAAGTGTCCGACACACTTCCTACAGAACAAGCAGTAGGAACCAAAGTTCACAGGGACCAGGTTTCAGGGGGGAAGGAAAAAAAGTGAACACTTCTTCTAGAGAAGCCACCGTGCTCGATCGGAGCTCCCGGCTTCAAATTTTAAACCTAAAACAACTAGAGACATTCTGGAGCCTTTTTGGGGACAAGAAGGTGCTATGGAAGAGGCTGCAGCTCCCTTTAAAACTTGCGAGGCAGATGGGGCCGAGGCAGGTGCCGAGGCAGCGGGGGAGGGTGTGTCTGGGCCGGGCCTCCCCGGGTTTGAGGTCTCTGGAGAGTCTGCAACTTTAGATGTAAATCCTCCCGACGTGCCTTCGGGCCTGGCCTCATTCCCTGTGGCTCCTGGCCCAGCTCACCCCGGCACAGAGGCTGTGGGGCACGCCCAGGCCGCAGGGGGCGGGGCCAACCCCAACCCTCTTCCGGAACCGAACAGTGGCGCCTGGAGAAAGCAAATCGTCTGCAGGTATTATCTGCATGGGCAATGCAAAGAGGGGGAGAACTGCCGCTACTCCCACGACCCCTCTGTGCGGCAGATGGCCAGGGAGGGCCACGTTTCACCGCCTGAGGCCTCTGCAGACAGAGGACCTAGTATGGCTGCGGCTGCGGCTGCGCAGAGCGAGCCCCCGACTCAGGAAGTGGCGGAAGCCCCTCCTGCTGCATCCTCAAGCTCCTTGCCTCTGATTGGCTGGGCTGCTGAAAGGGGTTTCTTTGAAGCTGAGACAGACAATGCAGGCCTTGAAGCTGCCGGAGGAGCAGGTGCACAAGGCTGGGAGGGTGCCGTTGAGTTTGTTCCTGGGCAGCCCTACCGAGGCCGCATGGTCCCACCGTATGGTCCCGAGGCTCCTCTACAGAGGCCTGTGCCTGAGAGAGAGCAGATGGCTGTGGGCATGGGGATGCAGCTTTGCCGCTATGCTGCCAGGGGACGATGCATTAATGGGGAGAGCTGTTTTTACCTCCACGGAGATATATGCGACATGTGTGGGCTGCGGGCCTTACACCCCGTGGATGCTGCTCAGCGGGAAGCTCATATAAGTGCCTGCATGGAAGCACACGAGAGAGATATGGAGCTCTCGTTTGCTGTGCAGCGCAGCATGGACAAAGTGTGTGGCATCTGCATGGAGGTTGTCTATGAGAAAGCCAACCCCTGCGACCGCCGCTTTGGCATCCTTTACAACTGCAACCACACCTTCTGTATTCAATGTATCCGCAGGTGGAGAAGTGTCAGACAGTTTGAGAACAGAATCAGTAAGTCCTGCCCACAGTGCAGGGTGCCCTCCAGCTTTGTCACTCCCAGTGAGTTCTGGGTGGAGGATGAGGAAGAGAAGGAGAAACTTATTCAGCGWTACAAGGAGGGAATGAGAAAGAAGGACTGCAGATATTTTGCTCATGGCAGGGGTTACTGCCCATTTGGAGAGAACTGTTTTTACAAGCATACATACCACTGGGGCCATCATAGGCGAGGTGGTGGCCCATCCGGCATATACTGGCATCAAGTTTTGGAGCCTGTGCGGGTGTCAGAGAGCAACATGCTCTTTAAAAGCAGTAAAAAGGAGCTTGTCATACGTTGCCTGGCCAATCTGTTGTTTAAGCGGTTTCTTGCAATGAGAGTTGGTTTTCCTTTCTCTGATGATCAGTGGTCTTGGCTTTATTATCAGCTGGAAGAATATTTCAATTTTAATCCGTAGTATCATGCTGTGGCACATGGTCTAGTCTGCTGAGGCTCTGTCATCTGCTGTTCTGCTGCCTGTTCTCCCTTTATTGATTGACATGCCTATTGCTTTCAGGGGCTATTGAGGCAATCTTTATGCAGTGTTTCTCTGTTTTCTTGTCTATTCCCTGTTTCTCCCCACAAGGATTATGATGTTTTCTGTGTTAAAAAAAAATAACAAAATGTCCTTACAGTTACTGTTTGGTGAAATGAATATTTCTGTCAGTTGATGGTTTGTTTTGTTATGTCTGTTTCCAACAGTATTTACTCAGTTATAGTGTAGTGTTTACAGAATTTCTACTCATTGTGAAGTTCCTCAAGAATAATTGTGACAGTGTGAAAAGAGAAGTCTTATTGAATTAGGAGCTTTTTGCCACAATAGCCTTAAAAAATGCACCCTTGCAGGGCCTTGCAGCTGCTGTCTTGTTTACATGTCTGTTTTTTCCCTCTTTCCTCTTCAAGTGCACTTGTTAACTTGTGGTTACTTTGTGATTTCGTGTTTTACTTGACCAAACCCAAGTGCATATGTTTACATGTTTTTATCCTGTTTAGCTTGATGTGAAATTATTTATATTTGGAAGTATATATTTAAGAATGACATATATATATACAATATGTGTATAAGTATTAAAGTTATGTATTTGAAAATATATATAAAATAATATACCCCATAATATATATGTTATGTAATAAAATAAATGCAGAGATGAAAGTTAAAAATCAAAGGCTAGCAATATGGGCTATTGTGTGAGTTGTGTGCATAATCTTTCTGTCCCTGCATAGATGTCAGTGATTAGCATCTAATGAAAATGACTCCGTGTCTCCAGCCAATTTTAACACACTGAAATCTTAAAGGACTTAGAAAGCATTTTATTAGTAATGCCTATGATGGCATTAAGTGCATACTATGCTTTTATAAATACAGAATGTCTGTTTCTATGCAATTTAACCACAATCTTATGATTCTTACTGACAGTAAATTCTGGGCTCAGGGAAACAGTTCTTTGTATTTAATATCTTATGAATAGCTAGATAGCTGTAGACTTTCCAAGTCACTGGCTTGTGATGGAATTTACAAATAAGAGTAATAGATGAAAAAAAAAGSAAAAACAATGAAAATGATGAAACCATTAAGCATGCAAGAATGGAAAAATAAAAGAATGAAGAAAAGACCAAATATTAAATTTAGAAAAACTTTAATACAGGCTATAATTACATTAAATAAAAGTTGTTTAAATGTGAAAARTCAAATGCTATAAAAAGTGCTTAAAATTAAAGTGGAACAACATGCTGTTTAAAATGCATACTTAAGAGTATAAAATACAGAAGCATATTGGCAAACTAGAAAAAAAATTAAACAGGTACTGTGCCTCTTTATGACAGACAGATTTATATTAAGCATAAACATTGCTGGAAATAAAGAGGAATGATGTATAAACATTAAGTTATAATTCACCAGAAATATATGATATTCAAATTTTGTGCTAGTAGTATAACATTGTGCTAAGTGTGCAGATAATTGATAAAAAAAATATAAAGTGCAAAAAAATCAAATGCTTATTGGATAATTTAATCCATAGTTTAGTAACTGAACAGCAAAGACTATCAAAGAGTTAGACAACACAATTTTAAGTACTTGATGTAATTGATTTGTATAGAATAATACATAACAATACACAAACTGCAGAGTACACCTACCTTGGCTCTTGGCTAAGATAGCTGAAAAAATATAATGGGAGCTTGAGGATTTTCAGACTGCCGTGACTATCCAACAAAGCCAGGCACATTTACAGAATTTATTTCATGTTCTAAGCATATTTAAAAATACTGATTTAATTTTCAGATCACAAATTTTCTCATACTTAAGAGGTAAATAAGGTAAAACTTAGTAGGTATGAATTTGTAAAACAAGGGGTGAAACTCAAATGGTAATTTCTAGAGCTTGACTTCCCCTGCTGTCTCYACCCCTACACAGGAGCAGGTTGACCAGCTTCATGTAGCAATGTATATAAAGCATGTAAGTCTAGATAGTTCAGCTAGGAGGGGCAAATGGGAGCATAAATTAGCTATTTTATCAAGAGGCTGCCAGTCTCAGTGTTTCTTATTCTACTTTCTGAATGTGCCTCAGCCTCCCATAATTTAACATTACCTCTACCTTATGTGATTCCTTGTTTCACCTATTTCCTCATCCATGTGGGAAAAGAAGATCGCAGGTAAACAAAGCAATCAAAATTGGGACTTGATGGAGCATTTTCAAAAACCATACTGATACTAAAATCTCAAAACAGCTTTGGTAGCAGCTAAGCTGTCAGGAAGGTGTTTCTAAGCTGAGCCTGGGGAACTCTRGAAATTTTATCCTTAATGTACACTGCCCAACCACATGAAATATCATGTTTTACTCAAATAGTATTTCAAACCAGACAATCTTAATTAGGTTTTATGAATATAGTGAATCAACTGTCAGTAGAAAAAGTGGGCTGGGGAGGCAGATAAAGGACAATTAAAATCCTGACTTTGCTTCCTACCAGCCATATGGTATAAGTTATTTAAATTCTGTTTACCTCAGTTTCTTCATATGAGAAATGGGTACAGTAGTTCCTGTTCTGCAGGATTATTGTGATGACTAAATATAGAATAGACAAAAAACTTAAAGCATAGTTGATGTATTAAAATGTTATGTATAAAGGTGGAGTTTGTGAATATTTATAGACCTAATCAGCTATTATATAAGAATTAATGCTCCACCAAGTTTTCTTTGGGGGAATMTTTGGAAGTGGTATTAAGATAAATTTATTATTTTCAGATTATTTTGTAGGCAAGGAACATAATGATATCTAGTACCCTTACATTAATAATTTCAAATAATCTATTTTTAGCAAAGATCATATATGTAAAAGTCAATGTGCTATTCGGTTACTTAAAATATAGCAAACAGCATAT